ACGGTCGTTACCCCTACCCTGGCATTTTGCAGACCTTTCTAGTTTTTCCCGCTAAAAGATAAATCAATTATTTTTGCCGGATTCAAACCACTGTAGCATATAGAATGAAAGTATAAAGCCATTTTTGAAATAATTACTTCATCCGCCAGAAAAGTCAGTTTTATTGAAATTTTCACGAAAACCCCACTACAACGGGCAAGTGATTTTTAAATAAAACCGTTAATTTTGACTCAAACTCAGTCAAAAACCGATTCAGAGTTTTATGACCCGTCTTCGGAGAATTCTAGAGGTTTGCAAAGAGGTCTCTGAAGGATCTCTAGAAAACTTTGTCTTAAAAATGGGAGTTTAGAAAACCCTTTTTTACTCATATAGGTAAAAACACATCGCGGATGATCACACTCCTGGGGCACAGTGTGCATTTTTCTATAGGGCAGGCGGGCAAGTGCTATAGAAGCAGTCCGCAAGACTATAAACACTTTTTCTATAGGTTTTCAGAAACGCTCTTCCCAATGCTATGCTTTACAAAGTTCAAAGAGATTTTCACCTGGGTTCTTCAGAGATGGGGTCTCTGGAAACCCACACATAAGTGTTTTGGAACCTCAGAAAGCGCACCATTGGAAAGAGCATATCCGAACACATATAGAAAAAAGTGTTTATAGTCTTCCGGACTGCTTCTATAGCAAATATCAAAATCCTTAGCCGGAATTGTCACGCTATGCTTCGACTTTAGTCTTTCGTTAGATCCAACAAGTTTTTGCCAGAAACACCTAGTAATAGCACATCATTCGATCCAGTTTCTTGCGCTGATTCTGAATATGTCGTTTCTATTGAATAAAAACATTTCTGAGCCGAGAAAAATGAGAAAACCTGGAAAACCAATATCTAAGCCCATGAATATTTGTGCTAACGGTGCTGATAACTTTCATATAAGAGACATTCGGGCAAAGTTTGGTTCAGGTCCAAAGAGGGATGTGAACGGGGCTCATTTTACTAAACGTAGTCATTTGGAAAACCACTTAAAAAAAACTTTTATTTTTTTTCTCAACATTCTTTAGCTCAAGCTGAAAGTGTTTTTACTACTATACACTAAATGATGCGGAGATTCAGAATTAACAAAACATTTGCTTACTATACTAGTTATTTTTGTGTAAAATAAATTTTTCTGACCATCATGCTATTTTCAGGCTAATTTTTAATTAGCTGATTTTCCACTACAGTTGAACTTCGTAACAAATCTTCTAACGCCATTAAACAGCCCATAGTTTGAAGTATATGTTGCACTGTTTAAACCGTTCATAAGTCAGTTTTCATATTTTCATCTGATGTCCGCGTGGATGCACACTGTGTGAGGTTTTTACGGGCTTTATAAGGATGAGTGGGTCTCGAAATTCTTAACGTGAAATTTTAGAGTTTTGACCGTGACACTGGTTAGAATCCTTGACTTATCTTTCAACTGGGAAAACTAGATAGGGTTACAAAATGCCAGGGTGGGGGTTCGGACCGC